ATCGTTATTTTTCCTTGGAATAAATTTCGATTTTTTCTTCAAAAGAAACACATGCGGGATATTTTTCAAATGTCGTTCTACAAGCTTTATTATTTACAATTGAAAATAGATGTTTCACCTTCCACGAATGTATTGAGTCTTTCTGTTGAAAACGGTATTATTTCCTCTTTTACCATAAAGATGATTGAATCCCATGATTCTCCAGAAAGTTCTGAAGGTAGTTAGTTCTTTCATCTATTGGACCCGTCTCTGCCTCCCCCTGATCTCCGCGGATAACCACACTGCCCCCTGATCTTCCTCTACATTCCGGCTCTCCTGGCCTCACCTGACGATGATCCCCTGGCCACCCATCCCCAGGCCCCTCCAACAGTGCTTTATCTATATTCCGCTTTATGCGTCCATCGGGGCTCAAAAATCATTCATTCTGGTTAGCAGCCCCGTAAATAAATATATTTCCGTTCTTTCATCTGGGGAAAATTATTAATTTTTTGTTGATTCTCCTTTAGCTGCTTAACACGGTTCTTTATGACTTGGTCAATGTAGGGAACTGCTAATGTTTGTCAAATAATTTGACACGCTATATGTTGGCAGGTCGATGTCGTCCCGGGCGCTGGTGTCGGTATGGTGGGTGCTCCAGGCCGCGCTGCTCGCTCTCTATCTAGCCAACTACGGCGTCAACGTCGCTCTAAGGGCCTTGCCTGCCTCTGCTGACCGCTACGTCGCCGCAGCTACCGCCCGTGATGCCCTAGCCATCTTCCAGGTCACACTTGTCCTTTCCTGAATGTGACATAGCAGAATGTTGAGTGTAAACATGTTGAGACCTAGTATGTTTGTTCAGTCACATCAACCAATAGTTTAACTCCCGTCGTTTCAGTGACTTCCTGCCACTCTCTTCAATGGATTGATTACTTTCGAAATTATTTTAAAGGCGTAAGATTCTTTTTGAAAATAAACAATTTCTACTGCCCTTACTGCAATGGGAAAATTAATGGGAGGGCTCATCAGTGGTAAACCCTACCATACCGCTGTTATATTGCATTTTTGAAACTTCCTTTTATAGTGATACTGTTGTTAGACTCTTGGAATGGGTATTTTAGAATAACTATGGACATAAGCTTTGAGGACAGTAGAATTAAAAACATTTATAAATATATAATATGCTTCGAGCAATCGCTCTTCTGCAAATATCAAATTGTTTCTTTTATTAGAACATTTAAGGGCAGTAGAGAGTGACAGGAAGACACTGAAACGACGTGAGTTGAACTATAGGTTGATGTGTCTGTGTTTTTCTCTGAATCTACTTCCAGCCAACAAAGGATCTTCAAAACTAGTATGTTTGTTGTTACTTGACTTAAGTAGATACTGTAGCCTAGTAATGGATGACTAAACAGATGAATACTAAGCAAAATACTATTTTTATTATTATGTCAGCACAACTACCCGACTACAATTAACCTGAAAATTATATACAGCTAGAGAGAGAGAGAGAGATTGAAACTACTTTATTTCAAAGTCCATATAAGATTATATAAGGTTAAATACAGAATAAATATAAATGTGAATAAATATGATTATATATTGAAAAATATAGGAAAAATAGATATAAATAGATAAAAATAATTGATAAATATACATATATATAAAATATATACAAAGTCTCGTCATTGGTAAAGTCCACCGCGGGAAAGACTCCACCACCGGTGGACTGCGAGAGTTCTTTCCAACAGAGTGGGCAGGTCGATGAAGTAGCTGGCGTTACCCAACTCAAGACCAAGATGGTATTTGTAGAGAGAGAGAGAGAGAGATAACCCAGGTTCCTGGAGTACAGAACGCCAACTACCCGGGGAGTCCAGCTCACTAGTATGGACTAGTGTTGGGCGCACTGCTTTACTCGCGTCATGTTTTGATAGCTGAGTTGAGCCAGTTGACCAGAAAGTTCCATACTGAGGTTGAGTCTGGCCATAGATGTAGGATTGAGGTGGGTCAGTTCAAGCAGGATAGTAGTAGTAACAACTAGGTAACCCAGGCTTCTGGAGCGTATCCATAGATCGCCATCTACCCAGGCTGTCCTGATGTTTAGTAGTCTGTCTTGGTAGCCTTAGTGAGCCAATTCACCAAGTGTTTCTAGGCCGGTTTGTTTCTTGGTAGATTCAATAGGGCAGTGTCATTGAATGAGGACAGTCCAAGAAGTGTAGCCGTTTAACAAATTATATACAGCTAGAGGGAGAGAGAGATTTATAACCCAGGTACCTGGGGCAGCGAACGCCAACTATCCAGGAAGTCTAGTTCACCAGTATGGGCTAATGCAAAGCGCTTTTACTCGCGTCCTGTTTTGATTGCTGAGTTGAACCAGTTGATCAGGAAGTTCCATGCTGAGGTTGAGTCTGGACGTCTGGCCATAGATGTAGGATTGAGATGGGTCAGTATATCATTTACATATCTTTAAAATGTACAGGTAACTATTTAGCATATTATTTAGTGTATGTTTTTTATGATGTAATCTAAATTGAAATTGAGTGTTTTATATGCATACCCAGCGAAATAAACATACTATTGGCTATCTAGGGATATTTTGAAAGTTATTCGAAGTATTTGAGCTATGACATGGCGTATGTTCCTCATGTCAGAGGCGGCCATTTCATTTGGAGCTAAGTCGGCCTGCCATTCAGTAGTGCTCCCAGTCTTAATGACAAAGGCAGACACATTCTACTTCACTCATTCATGATGGTTTCAAACAGACACCATCAAGGGTCACAACTTGATATCCTAATATGATTGAGTGGGGATAAGAAAGAAGAAGAAAAGCTATGTATAAATCTATTGTAAACCTCCAGGAATGTCTATATATTCAATTACAACAATCTATATCGTAAAATTGGGATTCAATCACTTTAGCTCTAGCTCCGTCTAACTGAAGGATTGTTGTGTATTTAGGAGTCCGTGGAGTCAGGCAGTCCGAAGATTGGAGTCGTGGCGGGGAGCGGAGCAGAGCGACTGGTGTTGGTGAGTTACTGGCCTCTTAGAAACCACCAATTCTTCTTAAAAACACACTCTTATAACTCCCATTGTCTTAACTATAGTAGAATCTTATCAAATTTAAATCAAATTTAACGTAACTGGCATATAGCCTATATGGAGTCGTGCATAATTCTGGTCACCTGCGCCCTCTAGTCTATAAAGAGGGAGCCAAAAGCTTCCCCATGTGCACTAGGTGCAAAACCGAAGAGGCCACTCCCCAACATTTACTAAATTGTATTGAAAAGGACAAAGGATCCCTGTACAGAGAACCAGGAAGAGTTCTTGAACTTCTTTATGAGCACGACCTCCAAGATCTTGTCTAATTTAGACTGATAAAAGAATAAGTAAAAAAAAAAATGATAGTTTATCACGAGAAAAGGGCGAGGGTGAAATGTTTAACTTATTGAGGCACCATTTCACATGAGCTTTATCTCCTCACAGTCCTGTGACTTATGCAAATTGAAAAGAAGGCAATTTATTGGCTTTACCTAATTTGTGATATTTTTTTGCTCTCTTTCTGGTAAACATGCTTAACCCGTTTTGCATATAATCTATGGACAAACTCTTTATAATTTTCTAATTATGTGATATATATCCGGAAAAAATAATAGAAAAATACCCATTTCTTGGTTTCTCAAGAAGACTCTGGAACCAAAGAGATTTTTGGTCGCAGTGGTACATCCTACTCCACGCTGACGAGCGCTAACGGCTTTGTGGCAATGACGACTTGTATATATATATATGTAATGAGTTGAGGTCTGGTAAGCCTATTGTTGAATCCTGTCGACTAGCTATAATAAGTTGAGGTCTGGTAGCCTCTTGTGTAGAATCTTGTCGACTAACTTTGTGATGATGAAGTGTTGACTCTTGCTATACTGTGTTGACCGAGAGGAACAGTCAGGATGGGGAGTTTTCCAGTACCTCTCTGCACCTTGGAAGACCTTTTACAATTCTCACAAAGTACAGGCAGTCGTGGTCGAGGCAGAATGGAAAGCTTGGAAATGTCCACACAAAAAAAAACGAAGACACAGTTGCACTAAGAAAGTTCCGTGAACAGATAGAGTTGAGCTAGGAACGAAAGATGGAGAGGTAGAAGTTTTCTTACTATTCTACATGATGGATGAGATGGCTTTGAGGGACGACCGACGTGGGCTCACACAGATGCTGCACTCACTGTGAAGTGACTGTCAAGTGACTGTATTTATAGGTTAAAACGGGGGGCCTTATGCGACAGGGGCCGTTTCTGAGAAAGGGGGCTTTGCATGTCACCAGGTGTGAGAGGGGGCTTTGCATTCCACCATATGTGATGTGTGGGTGGTCTGGTCCATTTTTAGACCTTGTTGTGGGAATTCTAAATCTATCTCGATTTTGACGTTACTTCTATCCCAGCATATCCTGACCAGGAGCACATGTGCTTTTTAGATGGCAGAGCGCCATCTAGAGGAACAGAAATCAACTAAACGTTGATTTAACCTGTTATTTGGCCAACCCATTTTATTAATAAATCAAGAAAAGCCATCCACTAACGCGTTTCGCGCTGTTTGCGCTCGTCAGCGTGGAGCAGGCTGTACCAACTGCGTCCAAAATATTTTTGGTCCCAAAGGCTTCTTGAGAAACCAAGAAATGGGTATTTAAGGCTAAACCTGCGTAAATACGCTTAACACATGAAAAAAATAATAGAAAAAAAATATAAAAATATAATAATTCTTCCGTTTATCATTACTCTTCACAATTCATCCTATCATACTTCATCCTTAAGGTTAGAAATAATCGTTATTTCTCCTTAAAATGAATTTCGATTTTCGTTCAAAAGAAACATTTGCGGTATAATTGTCGAATTCCGTTCTACAATCATAAGCCGCATTATATTGTATTAGAAATTACTATATATAATAATCTTATATGAACATTGTGAAATAGAGTAGTTATAATCTCAAAATCTCTCTCTTTAATAACATAAAATTTACGAACGGAAAAATATGTCCAGGGTAGCCTAGTGGACATGGCATCTGCCCGGTAAGCGGAACACTGTGATTTCGATTCCCATCCCTGGACACTTTTATTTTTCCGTTTATCATTACTCTTCACAATTCATCCTTTCATACTTCATCCCTGGAATATTCGACCAAATTCTGGTTCGTTTCCAAGGTGACTAACGTAGCAATGGCACCCATTTTCCAATGAAGAGCAAGATAGTGGATATTGCTGCTGATGTGATGGAGATGCATGGAGACATCTGAGACTCTTCTTTGGACACGACAACAACAACAACAATACTTCATCGCTAAGGTTAGAAATAATCGTTACTTCTTCCCTTAAAATGGATTTCGATTTTTCTTTCAAAAGAAACACATGCAGGATAATTTTCAAATGTCGTTCTATAAAAGATGGTGTAAGGGGGTTGTATCCAAGTACATCTGTAGCGGCAATGCCCTCGGTAATCCACACCGAGCGAATCAATTCCTCCAATAAACTTTTACGGCCAATAACAATTATATGAGCGTTGCGTAAAAAGAATTACCATTCTATAAATAAATCATCTGGATTGGTCTTAAGCTTGTCCCATTATTGAGTAGTCTACTCCTTAAAGTGAAATTCTGTCTTTTTTTCTCTAACTCTTCCACTATATGTTAAATTGTTGACTTTGCTTAGAATTATTAATGAAACCGATTCCAATAATTATTAATTAAACATTATATTTATTGATTTACAAGAGAGAGAACAAAATATAAAAGGGAAACTAATATTAAACAAAGGAACTTTTTTCTGTTTCGGTTAGCGCCTATTTACCTGTGAGCTTACACACACTCTGTGGTAACAATTAATGAATATATATACAACATAAATATTACAAATTAAATGTACCAACCTTTCACCCTACGTATTGCTTTCAAAAATATCAGAAAAAAATCTAAGACAATAGTTTACTATATATTTTTTAGATCATCATTATGTAAGGACCAGTCAACAAGTGAATGACAAAGAGTAAAGCCAGTTCAATTTCTATGTGAATAACACAAGATGATTATTACCTTACCCAATTGGTAGAATCTGTATGGGGCAAGTCCCTAATAAAGGCTTTTGTGTGTGTGTGTGATATGTTAAATATTAGGTGAATTAAACGCTATTTCAATCAAAATTACTTAATTGTATGCATATTAATTGATGAATAATCCAATCAAAGTATAGAAAAATAATAATAAATCATAATTCTGTTGTCATTGCCATTTATAATATCTCAATTTTGCTGATTAAAATATACAAGTATCAGAGTCATCAACAATTCTGTCATCGTTTGCTTTTGTGAATGGAATAAATACCCAAATATGGCCATTTCTTATAAGCATCGGTGGTTCAGTGGTAGAATTCTCGGTAGGGTTCACCACTGATGAGCCAGGCCCTCCCTTTAATTTTTCCCTTGCAGTAAGGGCAGTAGAAATTGTTTAATTTCAAAAAGAATCTTACGCCTTTAAAATAGTTTCGAAAACTTATATTGTTTTATTTATTTGTTTCACCACCAAGGCAATACATCTTGAGGTGGTTTCTGATCTCACTGCAGAAGCATTTATAGCTACTCTTAGGAGATTTACCTCGAGACGCGGCTTGCCTTCAGATATTTTCAGTGATAATGCTACAAATTTCAAATTGGCCAATAGAGTTTTGTTGGATTTTTACAGGGAGTTAAATATTCAAAATTTCTGTGCTCAAAGAGGGATTAGGTGGCATTTTATTCCTCCCTCCGCCCCCCATTTTGGTGGACTTTGGGAGGCAGGTATTAAATCTGTTAAAAGTCATTTAATCAAAGTAACGAAGTCGGCCATTCTTTGAAGAATTTCACACGTTGCCTACTCAGATAGAAGCAATTTTGAATTCGAGACCACTTCTCCCCCTTGATTCCAACTTTGATTCTTATGAAGCACTGACTCCTTCACATTTCTTGATTGGTTCCCCTCTTCTAGCTATTCCAGATGAAGTTGTGGATAATTTAAGTCACATTTCCCGTTGGAAATGCATTCAATCAATGAAGAATAGTTTTTGGAAAAAATTGTCCCAAGACTATCTTAATCTGTTACAAGCACATCCAAGGTGGCATAAGACTCATCAAGATCTACAATCTGGACAGCTTGTATTCATGAATCAAGACTCCACACCTCCTCATCATTGGCCTCTGGCACGAATCATCAAGACCTATAAAGAACCAGACGGACACGTGCGAGTCGTAGACCTTAAAACTCCAAAGAATGTACTCAAGCGTCCCATCACCAAGATAGCTCCTCTGCCATTCAAGGAATGAATTTTATTCTTGTTGGACTTGGCTGTCCAACGGGGGGGGGGAGTATGTTTGGTTAAAAATGTATGTTTTATTCTTATTTGTTATTAATTCTTAATTATTGTATAAATTGTTGTTAAATATTATTCATCGATGTTATTCTATTCTTTATTGTTAATTTATATAATTCATTGTTTTACATAATCAATTCTTTATTGTTTTATTTTAATCTGTATATATTTTCATTGATTCGGCAACAGTGTGTTGTCTATATATTTTGTGTTTTGCTTAGTTTACTTATTAGTCTAGTTAAATCGAGCCATCAATTCATGTTATGCTAGTCAAATTCATTAATGTAGCTTTTATTCAAGAATCAGTAAATCAGAAATCCCTTGTTCAATTTACGTAGAGTTCCCTTATTCAGGTTTACAGAACTCATTCAAATGAATCATCGCTATACCCCAGCTCTTAGCATTTGACCTAGGTAGACCAGCGAATACAGGAGTGGAGTTTGACCAGACCCGCGGATTTATCGCCCACCTACGCAAGATCACACGTAGATGCAGATCAATAATCCCACGACTCACTAACTCCATACAGGGCAAATTTGGAATCTCCTTTTCAGCTGGAACTAGGATTTTCGACGCGGTGGTGGTACCTGCCTTCCTTTACGGAGCGTCAATATGGGGACGTCGTGCTCTCTCCAGCGAAGGCATTAGGCAGCTTAGGAGCCTTCATTACAATTTTGCGAAACGTGTACTGAGAGGAGGTCCTTGCACACCAACAGTCTCAGCCATCTCCATCACCGGCAGCCCTCCTCTCGATATTATTGTTAGGTCTCGTACGGCGTTCCTGAAAGAAATCAATGAAGGAAATTTTGAATCCAGACCAGGCCCTGCTTCTTTGCCATACCCTCCGTATAGACGTCAATTGTCTTTCAGTCTAAACATCGAGGAGATAACAACACCCATAATATTTACAGACGGATCAAAAAATTAGGCTGGGGTGGGCGCTGCAATTGTTCCCTCATCAGAAGATCAGAAGCCCGTTCTCTTACGGCTCCATCCAGACTGCACAGCCTTCCAGGCTGAACTTCTGGCAATCCGCTGGGCGGTCCGTCTGGTGGAGGAAGGTTATTCTAGAGAGGAGATCACTATCGCGTCGGACTGCAAATCAGCTCTGTCAGCCATATGTACGTCAGGTCCAGTTCGATCGACATTAGTAGCTGAGATTATTCTCGCACTGAACACCAACCAAAATGTAAATCTGTGTTGGGTGCCGGGGCACTGCGGCATCGACGGAAACGAAAGAGCAGACAGAGCTGCTTAGAACGCGGCCGTTTCGACCTTAGAGCCATCATTTTCCATCCTGCCTAAAAGCCTGGCCCGTAGCCATTCACGTACGGCAGCCCTAGACGCATGGACGGAGGTTTATTGCCGGGACCACTCCAACAGGCACTTGAGGAGAATAGCCCATACTCCAGACAGGCTGCTCCAATTCCTCCCTAAGGTCTGTCCTGGAGAAGTCACCACCACCTTGCTTACAGGACATGGCCATGTTCGGGCAGACTTGGTTCTCTGGCATCCTGGGGAAGACCCATCTTGCCCACATTGTATGGAGGAGGAACAAACTGTGGACCACCTTCTATTCAGATGCCCTGCTTTCATGCGACACAGAATGCAGACAGCCCTGCTGCTTGGGAAGACCTCCTTCGACCCAGTCTCGTTGGCTGGACTCCCGGATTCTCTGCAGGCATGGAACTTCCTGACCAGCTGGTTCGGCTCTGCAATTGGCTCTATGTAAATATAATCTAGAGTAACTGGTTTCTACTAGTTAGCTGGACAGCCCGGGTAGTTGGCGTTTCTTGCGCTCCAGGGGCCTGGGTTATCCTTATTTTTCTCTCTCTCTCTCTTTCCCGTTGGCCGGCTCAAATCTTTTGTAATTATGTAAATAAGTATTTTGTTTTCTTTATCCTACTCGCCTTAAATCAGGTAGTACGTTCTTAGATTATGTATTTTATATTTTATAAGCTAAATTAAAGCTAATTCTGATCTTAACTATTTTTATCATTATTACCACGACTGCAATATCAAAAACATTCTTGTATCAATCAAATGACAAATAATTCCTCTACAAGCAAATAAAAGCTTATCTCAATAATATTTAAAAGCAGCAGAAAATATTTTTTATATAATATACTAGACGAATGGCCTAGGCAACGCCCGGGTTTACACGATTAAATGTATTATTCAAACACATAAAACATAGCAAAATAAAACATAGCAAATATAGCAAGAGCAGTTATTTTAAACGGCGAATTAGATCAGCTACAGCAAAAAAATGAAAATATATATGTAAATATGTGAAATAGTTATAAATTAGAAAACCTGTAAATATAGTTAAGGACTTGCATTGTAATTAAGTAAAGCTTCTCGTCTAGAACGCTGAGGCGACCTGCCGGCGGCGCGCGCCCGTTGGCTGCCGGCGAGCACGTGACTACCCTGTGCGCGCCGGCAGTCAACGGGCGCGCGCCGCCGGCAGGTCGCTTGAGTGTTCTAGAGGGCGCTGCTCGTGAGCTAAGTCGAATAATTTGAATATATAGTTTTAATAATTGATTTATAATTTTTTTAAAATAGCCTATCGTCATCCCCGTTATTCTTTACCTATGTATGGAAATTTTGGTTTGAATTAGTGAACTACTGCGAATTTGTATACCGGGCATACAAACCAACAAACAGACAAACATACAAACATTCATTTATATATATATATAGATATAAATAAA